GGTGCAGCAGAAAGGCCGGACGGAAGGAGCCTGGAGCCCTGACGAATTTACAAGGCAGAGCTTCTGTGACTGCTCCAGCTTTCCCACTAGAGAGAAACACATTTCCACCTTGACTAAGCCGCTGTCATCTTGGGTCTGTCTTGGGAGCCAAACCTATACTTAGATACCACCTCACGGGGACTCTGTAAGGCTCTTCTGAGCAAACGTGTGCACAGCATAATACATAGGTGTGCATCCCGGATGGTTATTAGGTTGGAATCATGTTATCGTTACCCCTTCTTCAAAATCCTTCTAGAGCTTCCACCTGTGCCATCTGCCCCTCGCCCTCCGAACAGAGATCACATTCGTTGATGAGGCCTCAAAGGTACTGTGTGGTCTTCTGGCAAAGCCTAAAGTACTTACTCCCCAGCCCTTTGTAGAAAGAGCTCGCCTGATGCTGGCCTGGCCTGTTCCTCCTCCCTCTCTTGCCTGGTTCACTCCCTTTCATTCTTCAGGTGTTGGCTCTGATGTCTCTGACCCTTTGGGTCTCTTGTAACACTGTCCTATGGCACCCTGCGGTTACCCTCCGTCGTATTTCTCAAAACCGTAACGAAATCAGGTCTTTAAGACCTACCTTCCCCCAAACTGCACGAGGCAGGGACAATGTGGACTCATTTATGAGACCCGGCACCTAGTAAGTGCTCCTAGCAGTACGCGTGGGGTGAGTGAATGACAGCAGGCGTTTAAGTCACCAAGGCAAAAACCCGACCGCCGAAAGGGTTCGCTTCTCCATGCGGCCCCTTCCACGGTCTGACCGATACCTCTGCGTCCCTGTTCTTCATGCTCGCCGCCAACTCATTCTCCAGCGCATCAATGATGTCCTGGTTCCTCCTGTTCTGTCTACTGACATCCTGTATGAACTGAGTCTTCTCTCTGGCTTCCATGGGGCTGGTGAGTAGCTTCTCGAACAGGAAGCCCCGCAGTTCCATCAGGCAGTCAATAAAACGCTGGGCTTCTGCGCTTCTGCCCAGCGCGTGCGTCTCCGAGAGCTTTGCCGCCTGCGGGTTATCGAGCAAGAGTCTCAGGACGTCTTTGGTGGACTCTCTGATGTGCTCCATGAGCGGCAGTAGGTTGGATTTCTGCAGCTGCACGGAGAGGAGGCGGTCTCTGAGCCATCCCTCGTCCTCAGACTCTTCCTCCTCCTGCAGCCGCCTCTCCTTATCCTGCAGGTAAGCGACACTGTCCAGGAGGCTGCGACACAGGTCCTCGTGCTCTCTCACCGCCCTCCTGACGTCCCCTCCCAGAATCCCCTCCAGAGCCTCGTCCTTGGAAGCCAAGTGTGAGAGCAGGGTCACCAGCTCCACCTTGTGGATGGTCTCGTCCAGTACGGACATGACCCTCTTGGTCTCGATGGTGGTGAGTTTGGACTTCGAGGGGACCAAGGGTTTTAGCGGGGAGGCCGGCTTTTTGGACAGCTCTGCCGTCAGCCTCATTCTGTTGATGTCAGGGCCCTGGTAGAGAGGGGCCACGGCGAGGACATCGAGAGCCATTTTCCGAGCGGTCTCCCTTGCCCCTGTGCGCCCTGGGAGGCGCAGACGTTGGCAGACTACGTAGGTCTCCTGCCGTTAGTGGCTCTGGCGACCCTGCGAAGGAAGGAGTAAGCGGTTAGTGGTGCGGGGCTGCACGAAGGTGGCTGCTGTGGCCGCAGCGGCCACCGACCGTCAACGCCGAGAGCTCGTCCCGGGTGCCCCGCAGCTTTTACGCAGAACCTCTCACTGAAAGCAGTTTCTAGCATTGTGACGGCATCGGACACGAGGGAAGGAAGACCAAGCGTAGAGGTGGGTCTCAGGCACAGATGTCAGGCAGGGCACGCCGGGAGTGCAGACACCATTCTGTTGAAGCGACTTAACTAGGTACGATATTAAGCATCCCCAGAAATGGGTTTGTTCAGCCATTTACATTAATGAGCATTTAATCGCAACAGACATCGTTTCAGGTGACTTAACATGAATGAATAAAAGTCAATGCTATTGAATTTTTTTTTTTTTTAAGCATCTAAATATAGAAAGCCAGTTACACGGGTGATGGAAATAGTTGAGAGGCTAACCAGGGAAGGGGAAGCCACCCAGCCACCGTCAATGGCAGGAGGCCACCACAGAAGGAGCTGGTGGTGAGCTTGGAGGACGAGGGTCACCCAGGGGAAGCTGGAACCGCACCCATTTCCTGTGCAGGCAGGGCTATAGCCCCCCCAGGAGCTGTGGCCACCGCTAGAAACGCAGCCCAAAGCAGAGAGAAGAGGAAATACCGTGGTTTCTTCTTCCTCCCACCCTCCAATCCGACACCAGCGCCTCCCATTGGCCAAACCCCGGGGGAAGCCAGAGGACAAGACGAGTGGGCACAGCAGCCTGCAGGTGTCAGCAGCCCGAGACAGAGCAGCACAGGGACAGAGGGAACAATGCGGCTGCGAGCAAATGGGACTGGGACCAGCAGAGCACATCTGCGCTGGTTTTTAAGTATGTATTTTAAAAGTCGGGGGGCGCGAACAGTGACTTTGAAACACAGTCTTTCGAACCTGCTTCGCTACGTGCGATGTCGCATCTCGGACTGGATCCTGGAAGGGGAAACGGACATTAGTAGGAAAATGTAAAATCAAACCAAGCCGATGGTGTCGTTAACAGCATTGTACCAATGTTAGTTTCTTGGTTTTGACGGACAGACCCATCACGGTTATTGAAGATATTAATGTTGGGAGAGCTGAGTAAAGGGCATTTGGGAATCCTGAACTATCTTTGCAACTTTTCCGTAAATCTACGGTCATTACGAAATAAAAAGTTGAAAAAACTCTGAGAAATTTGTGGCAGCGATCAGAAATCGATCGTGGATGTTGTCTACCTGGCACAATGGCTGAGTACTAGCTTCGCAGTAGCCCCACTTGGGTTTAGACCCTTGCTGGGGGGACCCTGGGCTACTTGTCCAATCCTCCTAAGCCAGGGTTTCCTCACCATAAAACAGAGATCTTAAGGTCCGGTGAGAAGTTGCTGGCACAGGGCCTGTACGTGGTAAGTGCTCGATAAATAATAACTAGCATTATTAACCCAGGGAACCCCGATCCCAGGTCCAGGACTGTGGTGATTTCCCGGTCTGAGTGTCTGGGCTTGGCCGGAGATCCAGATGTACCATCGGACTTGCCTCCTGCCTCCTGCCTCCTGCCCAGGATTGGCTGGGCCTCCCCAACATACCATGTCTAAGAGGGACCTCACCGCGTCCCCAGCCCTTACCCTGCTTCTTCCTTATCCTTTGTCCTGGCGATTGGCAATTCTGCCATCCTACTTGCTCGAGCTGGAAACCTGAGTGCCACCCCACACTCTCCTCCCCCCCCCCCCACATCCCAGTCTCTTCTTTCTCTGACAGCTCCCCCTCGTTTCCTTTCCTTCTGGGCAGCCTCTGTGCCACCGAGTGAGGGCCTTATCATCTCTCACTCGGATGATTAAAGAGCTTCTTAACTGGTCTGCTTACATCTGCTCCTGCTCCCTGCAGTAAGGGTCATCTATCTGGGTATTTATTGAGCTCCTGGGGATATAAAAGAGATTCAAGGAATGGTTCCTGTCCTGCCAGAGTTTATAACCTAGTTTGGAATATGAAACACGCACGCGTGAAAGTCCAACAACTCTAGGAGGAAGGGCATAAAGCTGTAATCACAGAATAGGTTGAGATCATGCCCAGCTTTCAACATAGAGTGGGGACTTTGGAGTTTATCTTGTAGGAGATTGGGATCCATTTTGATTTTGGGAAACAGGTAACAGGATCAACTCAGATTTTCGAGAAAGATTGGTCGTAATGGATGATTTATAGGGAAAGGGTTGTGGCAAGTAGAGAGCTTGGGGTATTATAAACCTTCCACCTCAGGGCCCTTGCATATGCTCTTTTCGTCTTCTTGAAACATTCTTCTCCCTCCTTATTATTAAGTTAATTATTTGCACTCAGATCTCAGTTCACGTGTCACTTCTTCAGGGAAGACTTGCCTGGGCTTCCAGGCTGGGTCAAATTCTTGTAGTTGATTCTTATAAGGCCAGCCTCTTTGTGGCAGCCACCATCCCCACCCCAACCTCCTTCCTTCTTGCTTGCCTATAATATAGTGGCTGGAAATATTCAATGCTCAACTTCTCAACCTCCTTTACAGTTCTGAGTGGCTATAGACACTGTTAGAGCCAATAAAATAGATAAGTTTTCTAGGGGCTTCTAGGAAACCTTTTACCTTCCCCATACAAAAGAAAGACATTGTTGGCTTCACCTCCGTTCCTTGAACTTGGGCTTTAATGCTAGAGCAGTGGCAGCCACTTTGTGAATGAGAAGGAAACTGCAGGAATGCTATTCCTGATGTCATTCAGCCACTGGACCTTCCAAGGGTCCATCATCTCTTACCCAGATGACTGTGAGAACCTCTTCACTGGTAACCCTGCTTCCGCCTACGTCCTCCACGGTCTCATCACAGCAGCCAGAAGGAGCCTTTTAAAACGTCAGATTCTTGGGGCGCCTGGGTGGCGCAGTCGGTTAAGCGTCCGACTTCAGCCAGGTCACGATCTTGCGGTCCGTGAGTTCGAGCCCCGCGTCGGGCTCTGGGCTGATGGCTCAGAGCCTGGAGCCTGTTTCCGATTCTGTGTCTCCCTCTCTCTCTGCCCCTACCCCGTTCATGCTCTGTCTCTCTCTGTCCCAAAAATAAAAAAATAAAAAAATAAAACGTCAGATTCTTTTACTCCTCTGTTCAAAATCCAGCTCACGAGGACCGGTTATTAAAATTTCAGGGTATTTGTGAGGTTCCCGTTAAGCCATTGGTGACTTGACTTTTTTTTTTAAGTTTGTTTCATTTATTTTGAGAGAAAGAGAGAGAGAAGTAGAGAGAGGGAATCTCAAGCAGACTCCGCACTGTCCGTGCAGTGCCCGATGTGGCGCTCGAACTCAGGAACCGTGAGATCGGTGACCTGAGCCGAAACCAAGGGTCAGGTGCTCAACCAACTGAGCCACCCAGGTGCCCCAAGCCATCAGTAGTTTGAAATCAGCCACGGTGGGAGTATTTACACATGGAAATTGGCGAATACTACAGATCAGTGCCCCCTCCCACCAAACTGGTTGTTGGACATTTACCAGAACCCCCCGCTACCAACAGCTCCCCATCTCACTCGGGATAAAAGCCAAAGTCCTTACAACGACCTAAAAGGCCCTACGTAATCTGGCTGCTGCGACCACTTGCTCTTCTGCAGTCAGACCGACCCTTTTGCTGTTCCCTGAACATGTCAAATGTGCTCCAGCCTCTGACAGGGCCTTTGCACTTGCTGTCTGTGCACCACGACCCCTGCCCCCCCGCCAAGCCCCAGGGCTGGAGCATTCATCTAAATATCTGCAAAGCTCGTCCCCACACTTCCTCCTCTGCTCAAATCTTTGTGTAGTAGTGAGTGCTCTCCGGATTTCCTTCATAAAACGTAAACCCTCTCCTCCTCCCTGCCCTCCCTGCCCTCCCTTTCCCCTTATCCCGTTTGCTTTTCTCCCAGCTAGGTTCTCACCGTCTGACATCCATATGTGGGCCTGTTTGTTTATTGTCTGTCTTTCCCCCTCCCCTAAAAGGTGAGCTCCAATGAAGGCAGGGGTTTTATCTATTTTGATCACGGCTACATACCCGGCACTGAAGAAAACACCTCAACATCGTCTTGGGGCGAGGGCTGGGCCTGCCACCTCCAGGTTCCCTGTGCCCTTCTCCTTGTCATATGCTGTGGATGCGAGAAATGTTTTGAAGACGGAGTCATCAAGGGGCGCCTGGGTGGCTCAGTCGGTTAAGCGTCTGACTTCGGCTCAGGTCATGATCTTGCGGTCCGTGAGTTCAAGCCCCGCGTGGGGCTCTGTGCTGACAGCTCA